TGTCGTTATGTATGTCTGTTACGGAATTCCGTAGCTCCTTTAGATCTGCCTGGAGAGACCGGGTTAAGCGTAGGATGGGTGGGCCATGTCCCGAGAAGTATAAAGCACATATCAGCTTGGCGGATCTCCGCCCACAGTGGGCGTTGCGTCCGTCGAAATGAGCTGTACTGAAGACCATGATTTCTAATTCAGTCACAAGACGGCTTCAAAACTGGGGTTTAAAGGTGGCTAGAGGTGTGCATTGGTAAGTTAGATCGAACTGGGGAGAACCACCCCAGACGGGTGAGGCGTTCTCCAAAAATGCAATGCTTTATGAAAACATTTTGGAAAATCATAACTCCTGTCCCCGTGGACCTAGAAACCTCACAGATGGAAGGAGTATAGGCGGCGGAATGGGAACCCTTATGGTGTGTGGCAGGACCAGACTCCACCCCGAGGCGGGGTTCGAGCGGAAACTCATAGATCCTGTCCCCGTGGACCTAGAAAGTTTAAACTTGGTAGGAGTACAGGCGACAGAATGGGAACACTGATGGTGTGTGGCAGGACCAGACTCCGCCTACAGGGGGCGGGGTTTGAGCGGAAAGTTTATAGATCCTGTCCCAGTGGAACTAGAGCGTTCAAGTTTTTGTAGGAGCACAGGTGACAGGATTGGAACACTTATGATGGGTGGCAGGACCAATCTCTGCCCACAGGGAGCGGTGTTTGAGCGGAAACTCATAAATCCGAGCAAGGTTTATAACGAAAATTAGCTCAGTGGCTCCGTCCCTCATGGCTAGAGTCCTTAGCGCACGCGACAGCGTGCGTGGCCGTTCAATTTAGTATTAAGCAGAGATTTTTAGGACTATGGTCGACCGGTTGCCGGAACAGAAGGCCGCTCGGAAATGCATACATTTTTCAATAACAAGCTATTCGAAGACAACACTGAGTCAGCGAAATCAAATCGATCGTCAACAATCGGAGAAGGTACTAACGTTGATTGGTGAGTGTTTTGCTATATTCACTTGAAACTCACGAACTTTTGTTGCTGTTGGGCTTCTACTGTTGTTTGAACGGTGAAATGCTTATGCAGGTTACCAACTGGCTTACAAGGTCGAAGACGGAGCGCTTTTGTCAGCTCTCCTAAAGTCCTTGCGTTCACGTTGTCCGGACTGACACCGGTGATGGCCGCTATGATCGATTATGTGATGAAGCCTTTTCGTCAGCTTAACATCTCTACTACTGAATTTGCCGCACTCCAAGCAATAATGTTTTTTGATCCTGGTTGGTTTTTTTTT